TCTCGTATTCAGTTAAATATACCACACGGGTAATATACCACACAGGGTTCATGTACTACAACACGACACAGTGCTAATGATTTAATGTATCATTTTTCGCAAATATTCTTTTGGGACATAAACAAAACTACCATATCTATAAACTAAGAAAAACAAAATGAAGTATCAAATGCCACAGTTTTGAAACCCATTCAGTGTGCCGACATACAGACCCTATCACCCTTACAGATGAACCACTCCAAGTCGGGTTTACGATTTTGTGGTGAAATTCAAGAATAACTGTGCCCCAAAATTTCCACCTAGTTACCTCACTGAAACGCTCGTACTCAATTCATAACTGTCTACACTAAATGAATGGATGTTTATTCAGTTCCATGTAACATTTATCGCATGTTTGCCTTAAACCACTTTCAGTGTATAGCGATTTACTACAGGTGTGAAATATTATAGGTGTAAAGGTAATTTTACACCAGTGAATAAAATTTTACACCGACACTTCACACTTAAAGTCACACCCCTTTTTAACATCAGTTTCGCTGAATAAAAAAGGAAGAGGTTTGGGGTTTGATGGTAGTTCAACCTTAATTTTTTATTCTACCCCTCAAAAAAGGTGAAAGTTTTTGTTTCTTTCTTTGTGTTCAGACCTGCTTTGAAAGCAGAAATGTCTAATCCTAATCTGGTGCAACCCTGTGCAGCTACACGCATACTCAATTTAATTGATTAGTCATTCCAGTTGGAAAGTCTCCAGTCATAGCAGTGGAATTCCCCATCTCACTCCAGCCCGTTGAAGTCATGGTTATGAAGAGACGTGTGCTTCACGTTCGCATGTTGAAACATTACCTTAAAAATGGTTGCAATTATCCAGCGTAAAATGTTGAAAAGGCAACCGTTAATGCCAAATTAATTTTAGGGAAGTATGAAAATTATTTTCATTTCATGAACTATTCAAGTGTGAAATGTGGACATACTATTCTCGCAAAATATTGAAGCAGATTGAAGAAAATTCGTTTGAAGTCTGATTTCTTCGATATATAATTAAAATCAAGCGCTGATTTATGGACGGAATGGGGATTTACGAGTACAACCCAAATTAAACCTGGTTGTTGGAATTTCTTTGTGTAACCTTGTGTGGCCTTTATAAGGAGTCAGGCAACACTTTGTGCATTTCTTAGTTACCCGCTTTGGGAAAAAGAAATAAAAAAAGCATCCAGTCGCCTTTCTCTGACTCTCATTTTATGAAAAAAAAAACCTTTCCCTTTTAAGGGGATGGCCCCCGTCGTGCAATGGGACTGGCTAATTTCCTCATGACGAATGACAAAATTTCTTTGAGCCCTCACTGGATACAGTGAATTCGCTTGACAGTAACATAAAACCGCACGCGCATTAGGGCAGTGCACAGCCCGAAATGCCACGAAACGAATGGGTTTCGGTTACTGCACTTTGTGACGGATGCCCACGTCCCTGCGACGTGGAGGCGGTGACGACCAGGAAAATTCCCGAATTGTACACGTATGTGTCTTCTTAAATGTTTCACTTTAACCTGTTCAACTTAATGGATAACCCCTTGACTCTCTGGAACACATTAATTATTATTATTATAACCGTGCGCTCGATGTAGGCCTACGTGTCTGACTCGTCGTGGGTAATTGCATCATGTCCCGCTGGCACGTTGAAGCACCGAAATATAAACTGTGCCAACATTTATATTTCTCTGAAAGGTTGTCATGTCATAGCATGGACATTCCTACACTGTGGTCGTTATGTTTTCTGTGCACTGCCAGTGTGCGTGCAGCAAAACCTGGAGAGCCGATGTTTTTGTTCGAGATCTTAAAAATAGTCGGCCATCTGTGTTTTCAACACAGCTCAAAATATGTGTCTGATGTTTTCGTCCGATGACTGAATAGAACAAGCTAAACCACTGTTGATGTGGAGTAAAGATGGTTCGTTTGGTGGTAGCAAGAAGGATAAAGGTAAGATTTGTGGTATTTATAAGAATGCAGGTCTTTGTTCGTCAGTTTCTAAAACAATGAACATGAGTAGAACAATGCATGAGTAGAACGTTTCTCCAAAGGACCCTTACAATGAACTTTTTCAAAAAACGATTGGAAATGCAACCTTGTACCCCAATTAGCCATGTTTGCAATTTTGTTTTTTAATATGGTATTACTTTACTAACTTTTTATGTTATACTAATGAGATTTCCATCTTCACAAGCGACACCGTGATCTCATTCTTTAACAAAAACTTCAGCGTTACATTGATTGAGCACAAAGGCTTGACATGGAATGACCATGTTGACTGCCATGTGTCTATGTAGGGTGAGTAAAAGACTGTACATAGAGCCTATTTGATAAATCGAAACTTGTAGTTAGAAATAAGACTGGCCTGCTAGCAGTTTATTTTCTGACCTTACACCTGGTTTGGAATATGCATGGCAAGAATAGCTCAATCGTTTACCATATTATGAATGGCCTGACAAACTAAAATTATCCAGAAAAGGGTTCTGCGATGTATCCACCCAGGTCGGAGTGGTCAGTCATAATCTTCTTTGGGCATCCTAATCACTGCATGAGAGGCGTAGTAAAAAGTGCAAGAAGTAAATAATAAATAAATGTGCGTTCTAACCACAAATGACGCCGTTTATTGTCCCCGAGACTCGCCCATAAGCTGAGATTCTAAGATAAATTTGTCCTCTCCTCCACTTAAAAAGGGGTTCAGTAATTCTTTAATATCATGGAGCCTTTTTAACCAATAATTGTTCACAACAATTTGTTTTTATCTTGTCTCATCTCCGGTTTATTTTCTCAAACTAATTAGTTTTTTTTTTACAATTAAATACTGTTGTCTTTTTTATCCTCAGTTCCCAATCCCTCCAAAATTGTGGTTATTGCTTCGTGGCTCTGAACGGACCTTTTCCTATTACCGATTACCGTTGCAAGTCTGTCTGCCAGGCGGGCCTTTTTGCTGTTTTTCTGGTTGCTTGTTTTGTTTCGTTATATGTAATTTATCCCAGCCAGAACAATTTGGCCGGAGCTTACTTAATCCCTACTTTTTATTAAATTCATTCCATTTTTTTCAATGAATTCAATCATATATGTCTGCTAGGATTTGTTATCAAATCTTATCCCAATATTGTTTTCAATGAGGTGATTCTTTTGAAATTTGGTGAAGTATGGAAAAATTTCAAAACGCTTTTTCAATACACTAACAACTGGCCCAAAATGGACGTCAAAAATAGTTTTTCTTGATTTGAAAGGAGATTAAAGATGCAGAAAATGTTCGTCTTAGAAAATTCATTGCATGGATCCTTTAAAACTTGGTGAATGTCGTCGGTTGAATGTGAGGCCTGCGCATAATAAGCAAGGTGTGCCGCGGGGTCATGCATAGTCTGACAATCTCATTGTCAGACTATGCATGACGGACGCATTGAATGTAATGAAGGAAATGAATCACATACCACGCCGTTTAAATGCAAGTAATTATACTAGTAATATTATTAAAAAATTCCACGTAAAAATTTGAAAAATTGCAAGGTTTGTAGGGATTGTTTGATTTTTGTTTCTCAGTTCTGGTGATGTTATAGGTTTGGTGGGCTGGCTGAGCAAGTGGTTTAGGGTTTGGTTAGGTCGGGTTGGGTTAGCTCCGGTGGGGGTTGGATTGGGCCGAGTGGGTTGGCGTGGTGAGGTTGCTTGTGAGTTTTTATGTGTTTTGTTCTATTCTAGGTTTTGATTTGGGTTTGGGTTTCCATTCAGTTTAGCTGTGGGTTTATCTTGGCTCTCGCTGTTTCCCGCGCTGTGAAGTACATGTATAGTTGACAGCATTAACTGAACAAGTGGGTACTTGGACAGGCTGCAGAAAACTGCACAAGGGGATTTTCTGAAAAAGAAAACCAGGGTTTGAATTGCTCGATTGTCCAGATACTTATTCAAAAGTTAATTGGATCCTCTTTTTTATATGATACCTTAAGGTGATACTTATGTATACGTATGACTGATCAAAGACAATAATCTGAAATTGTGATGCCAAAATTGCATGGCTTGGCTTTGTTCATTAGAAGTGGTCGACGGGTGTCGGGTAGTTTTAAGCGAAGTCAAAGAGATGCGTGTTCAATTTATTTGCCGTCTTTGCTCATATTTTAACATAATGATAAAAAGATTGCTGAATAAACTGTCCACATGTAGAACACGTCCTCACTGTTTCCACATAAGATTTTGCTTTTGGCGTTACCCTGCATATCTGGTTGTGGCCCGGCTGCTTTGGACTTCGATGATCATTCTGTCATGCAGGTACTGATGAGTGCATGGAGGTGGACTTTAGTGTGAACCTTGTTTTAAATTTAGGAAAGCCCAACATAAGGAGAAATCCCGGGACCTGCTTTGGCCCTTCAGACGGGTTATTCCACACAATATCCCAATCATCATTTTAGACATTCTATTCCTCGTTCTCTCGCAATCACTTACTAATGTTGAGGAGGTGTTCCATCCTTTCGAAAACGTCATCCTTTCTGTCGTGAGAGTAAACAGAACAAGATGAACAGTTCCGTCCAGTCTTTGAATTAGCCTAAAAAAATGTCCAGCCTCTCACTGTTCTGATCAGACCGGTTCACCAGACCACCAAATCAACCGAACAATTTTCGCCACCGTTGCGTTGTACGCATCGTTATCTGCACTTATCCCCGCTTCGGTTTTGTAATCGGCCACTTGGTTTTAACAGGGTGGCCAGTCACGCGATGACAGTCTGTTTCTGTATGTTCCACTAGGAATCATGTGACTTTCTTCGTGAATTTGACTGGTCAGCATGGCCTAACATTGTATCTGGAGGAATACATTTCTTGCCCGAACACATTTCCAGTGATTTCAGATCTGATGAAATTGGATGCAAACAAATCAACGTTTGATTTCGTCCTGCGCCCGAGGTACAGTCAGATCGGCCGATTTTGAGCGCACACCTTTCCGAGAGTGGCGTAAAAAACGGGGGGGGGGACATGAGGGCACGCCCCTTCCGGTGGGGGGACATGAGGGCACGCCCCTTCCCGCTTGGGGCCTGTACCTCCTGTGTCCCCCCCCCTTGATATTAGAGAAGGAAAACATGTGGAAATAGTGCATTTAAGTCATCGTTTCAACCTGACCAAATCGAGTGTCCATTCCAGCAAAGGAGAGCCCCCACGTGGCCTCCTTTAATTAACATGTACCTCAGTTTCGCCACAGTGTGGCCTGATGAACTGGTCAAATGGCATTATGTGCTGCGGGTTAAAAGTGTCCAACACCATAAAGCTGCTTCCCGTAAATAAAGCCAAGTTAGGCATCACCGATTCAAATTGTCTCTGATTATGTAGGCTAGTCATGCTTGACCCAAACACTGAATTTTCTGGTATCAAATAAAAGAGGACAAAATGAGCTTTACAATTAACCATATATGTACACTTGTGGAAAATGCTTATTAGGAATTGCTTATTAATCTATTCATCGTTAAGTCAATTTTTTTTAGAGCACCCTGCTTTATGTCAACAGATAAAAGGCAACAAAATTTGGAAAACTGCCACTTGCATGTGGGACAGACGTTTTTTTGCGCATAAAAAGAGGAACATGAACGTGAACATGCAAAAGGATTTATGTTTTGTTGCTTGCAGAGAAACAACTTGAAAGCCGTTTGGCACAAAGAAAACGGACACAGTAGGATCTTGTGTTAGGACACTCTACAGATCCACGATGTCATCCTGTCTGTCTGAGAAAAAACTGCGACTTTTGGCTTCGAATCTCGGAGAGGAGTGGAAGGCTGTAGCCACCTATCTGGGAATTAGAAGAGATGAGGTTGAGCGGATTCAAGCTGATCATTGGGGTACAGAAGAGCAGATATTCCAGATGTTGATGATTTGGTGGCAGCGGTGGGATCATCTGAATGACGGTAGCGATAGTATTGCCGTTGCTGCTCTTTGTGAATCTCTCGTGAAAAGTGGAAGATTTGACGCAGCAGAGTCATTGAGAGGTGAGATGATTTTCAGTATAAAATACGAATTCCATTTCCTCAAGAAATCTTGATTTTATTTATTAAAATAGTCACTTCGTTGCTTTGTGTACACTCTAAAAACGTCCGGGTCAGATTGACCCAGAATTGGGTCCAATTCGGTATGACCCTTTTCTGGGTCAAAATATGATCCCCTTTCGGGTCATATTTGACCCTTTCTGGGTCATAATTTGACCCGGAAAAGGGTTATACCAGACGTTTTTAGAGTGTATTGCCTTGAAGCAGGATGGAGGAAAGATTTATTTCAATCCCTTCGAAGGAACAAAAACCGATCAAGAGTTTTTCCAACAGTTCAGAATCAAATAATTCAAGCTAACAAAAAGATTATTCTAAGGGAACTGTTGAAATGTGTTTACTTATAGTCTGCCTGAATTCAGCCGATAAATGTATCATCGTTCCCCATTGATTCCTATAAGACACAATTTCTTTTGACAACGAATGATTAAGTTTCTTTCACAAAGACGATCACAGCATTAATCAGATTTAACAAAACTGATATTTTCTGTGACTAGGTCTGATCGCGCAAGATTTCAATTTTGATGTGTGCCTTGCCGAGTTTACCCAGTACTACATTGACACGATGGGTCTAGTCCCCCTGATACCTTGGCTGCCATCAGAGGTCAAAAGGATAAGTGATATCTATGTAAAACTGAAGCTGATTGAGAGAGAGAACAAGGCTGGTAGAGTGGTAGTGCGTAACATCAACTCCTATGAGGACATGCTTCGTCTTGAATATGATAACGGTCAACCAGTCAGATTTATCTTGCTGTCTGGCATTGCCGGTACTGGCAAGACAACTATCGTGTCAAAGATGGCAACCGACTGGGCACTTCAGAAACCAGAATCACCGCTCTCCAAATTCAGTCTTTTGGTTGCTTTGAGTGTTCGAGAGTTGAAGCGCGTCCCTGATCTTGGTGAGGGAATATTCGACCAGATTCTTGCGAAAGATACAAACATGTGTCGCACCCCTCTAACAAATTACTTGAAGTCTCATGCTGAAGAAGTCCTTATCGTGTTAGACGGTGCTGATGAGTTTAATGAAGAAGGATCCGAGCTGCCAACTGAAGGTGACATCATTGACATTATCAGCAACAAAATTCTCCGTGGATGTACCGTCCTTGTTACCACACGTCCCCACATGGTGGACAAGCTGTGCAAGCTCAACCCTGCTTTTACTCGCATCGAGACCAGTGGTTTCTCAGACAGTGGAGTTCAGGAATATGTTCAGAAGATTTTCAAAGGTGAAAAGACATCGGTCCGTGCCGATCTGTATCAGGTTTTGATGGAATCCAAAAGTCTGCACACTCTTGCAAGAATACCCATGATGTTGTTGCTCATTTGTCTCATTTGGTCGGATGAACGCAAGCTGCCTGAGACATTAACGGAACTTTTCAGGGAAGCAGTCTTCTTCATGATGAAACGACACTCTGAGAAATTTGGCAAACTCTGCGAAAAAGAAGATTCACTTGAGCATGAGTTAATGCAGTTCGTGCAGGCATTAGGCAAACCAGCGCTTGATGGCTTGTTGCTTCCTGGTCAGAAACTGATTTTTGAATCGGTGGAATTTGGAAGTGCCGAAATGGTAGACAAAGCATGCAGTCTTGGCATTCTATCACTGGAAAAACGGCGAAGAAAGTTGCGTTCAGTGCATTATGTCACCTTTCTCCATAAAACCCTCCAAGAAGCAATTGCTGGGTTTTACTGGGCTAGTCTGTTTGAATCAGACATGGAGTCTTTCTACCGGTATCGCCGTTTACTCAATGAGGAAAATGCCTTCAATTTGGAGTATGTGTTGCGTTTTTGTTGCGGGGCAAATGTCGGAGCAGCTGAGTCTCTTCTGACCTGTGTCACTGATGTTTTCTCCAAGACAAATCCAGAATCATCGATGTCAATGGAAAGCGAGCATTTGCCGAAGAGCATAGTTTGGACACCCATTTCACTCGAGGCTAAAAAAGAGAGGATGGTTCAACGACTGTGGCTTTTGATGCATTTGGAAGCACAGTCCTGGGAACTGCACAGCATTGACAAACCTATGAATAGATACAGGCTGATATTCAACTTTGACTGTTCAGGTGATGAGAGAATAGCCTTCGGATATTTGATTGAATGCGCGTCTTCTGCCAGAATGTCGTTCCTACACGAGATACAGATAGTTTCCATGAGTGCCATTAGTGGAGCAAGTGCGACGATCGTCACAGAAATTCTACTCCAGGGAGTAATGAATATTACAGATCTCACGATTGCATTTGTAGACTATAAGAATGAGGAAGCCATCCATCACTGGCAGTTGGACCTCGGCAAGGCACTAAGTAAGATGAAACTTCAAACCCTCTCCTTCTGTGGCCCATCTGTTATCGTAGATTACGACATATCGACTGTCTTTGAGGGATTATACAACAGTAACAACTCTGCTTCTCTTCAGAACTTGACTCTTGAATCGGTTGCTGTTAATCCAAGATACCTAAAGAAATTCCTTGAAAAGCAAGGGGAGCTTCGCTGCATTACTCTTCGTTCGCAGCACGATGTCGACAACCGACAGGTTTGGGGTGAAGCTTTGGGAGGCCTTCAAACCCAGGCACTTCAAGAGATGGATGTGAGACAGTGTGTACTATCCGATTCCCATGAATATTGCTTAGATCGATCGTATCCAAAGCTTCAAATCCTCAGACTGATTGATGATGATCTTCAAGAGGACGACATACAACATGTCAGTAGTCTTCTCTTGAAATCTCCAAAACTGAAAGAACTTGATCTATCAAGGAACAACATTGGTCGAGGTATCCAGAGCCTTGCGGAGAGGTTTCCACATCTTGATCAACTTCAAGTGCTAAAGCTCACGGACACTGGCTTGACATCAAAAGAAGCGATCACTCTTGCCGGATATATTCCTAGCTTGGTTAATCTTCAAGCGTTGTCCCTGAGCCGTTATGAGTATTCGCCAGTGATAATAACTGCAGAAGCCTTGCTCACAGTTTTACAGTGGTCGTGCAGATGCCCATTGCTAAAAGATCTTGATATCAAGCAGTGCGTTTTGACAATCCTTGATTTGGATGAAGCCGATGTATCAGTGGATTTAAAAGATGGTTCTCAGATGCTGGTAGATGAATCACGTTCATCGGAAGGTTTAGCAGACGGTCCTCAGATGCTTGCAGATGAACTGCATTCATCTGTAGATTTAGCAGACGGTCTTCAGACAGTGGCAGAAGAACCATATTCATTAAAAGGTATAGAAGACGGTTCTCAGATGCTGGCAGATGAATCACATTCATCAGAAGTTTTAGCAGAAGGTCCTCAGATGCTGGCAAAAGAGCCATATTCATCAGAAGATTTAGCACACGGTCCTCAGGTGCTGGCAGATGAACCACATCCAACACTTAAAAGCACCATTGAAAACTTAGATTTGAGTAGTAACTATTTTGGCAAGTGGACACAACAATTCCTGAGGCTTCTGAAGTATATGCCCTTCTTGAAGAACTTGGACATGAGTAGCATGAGTCTCACATATGCAGACGCAGTATGTCTAGCTGAGGTTCTCCCATACTGTCAACGACTACAAACTGTACATGTAGGAGACAACAATCAGATGGGAAATCGTGGTCTCGAAGTATTGCTGGGAGTGATTCCGGAACTTCCTGATCTGAAATATCTTTCACTGCCAGATAGGGGTAGAAAACCTCCCGAGATGGTTCGAGAATGCCTCCAACATGGTCACCGATACAGCATTATCAGATACTTTCACCATTTTAATCGACCCCAAATTGAGGCTGTAGTTCAGGTTGTCAAGCGATTTAAGGGAAAACAGAACAACGTTGATAAAAGGGCAAAGCTAATCTTTGATGTATAAAGTCATAGCTACCCTTGGCAAGCGGACTATGGCCTATTTCCTGATCAATGTCTAAGACGACAGCTGCATCTTTGTATGACCCTCCAGACTCTTTATAGTCCCAGAGGCAATCTTTACGAGCCAAGATGTTTATATACACATGCAAGATTTTCTAAGAGTTGGTATTTAGACATTGGACATAGTTAAGCATTATCTCTCGTAACTACAGGGCTGTAGGTGTGAACTTACAGGTTGCATGAATGGCGTTTGAGTGGATCGGAGCTGCCCATCCCCAAACCCTTGACGTAAGTTTTTTTTTCTGCTAAGAAAAGCTCAAGCTGATCTAAATATGGATAGTTTAGTAGCCTTGGCAATTCCTCCCAAAACTGTTTTCTTTTTGGCGCTGTTGCTTCCATTTTGCGTTGAGAAGTGTCAGCCACACTGGATTACCATTATTACATGAGACACGTATTAACAGTTCACCAGCACCCCCCTACAGGCTCTCGTCTTGTCACACCCCTTTCTATTATTGGTCGGTGCCAAAGAAAAAATATGTGCCCATCCAAAAAATTACTGCCAAGGAAATATCTTGTGTTTGCCTACACGGCAAACATTTTTCACGATTCTTATGTCCATTATGGTATGTTACCGTCGGTACTAACACACTTTTTAAGTATCTGTTTAGGAAACAAAAGAACTTGTACCATCTAGGTTTAGGCTTTTTCTTTGTTAACTAGAGAACTTCTGGGTGTGCATCCTCGTGGGATTATGAAATGGTAATCGTTTGACTTGGATGGCTTTGGACGTATTTTTATTGGAAAATCTCGTTACCGATAAACCATCAAAATAAAAACAGCAACACAAGGAAACACCAGTTTGCTATAGAAACCTGGTGATGTGACCCATTCCTTGAAAAGAAAACAGTGCAGTTTTCACGATGTTTACACACGAATACGGTGATGATGTTTCCTTGTTATAAGTTAAGATGTCTATGGGAGGACCCTTGTAAATAAATTCCCATACACACCGATAATAAAACTTTTATTTCAAAATTATTTTAAAAATACAACTCTCACAGGTGTCCAAGCTGGACATCAAAATGGTGTTCGATATGTCCTCCTTCATTTTCCTTTCAAGTTTTAGTGGGTTGACGGTTGAATTTTTGAGAAAATCTCACCCAAAGCAGACAACCCCTAAAATGAAGGAAATTTCACTGCCCGGAAAAGCAGCCATCTTGAAAAAGCATCTCAGGCCTCTGCAAAACGACTAAATAGTGCCACATTCGAACCTGATTGCATCGCAATTGATCAGAATTGGAAGCCCTGAATCCGGGCCAGAGGTTCAGTGCCATAATTCTTCATTTTCCCAATTCCATGGCTCTCAGGACTCTCTAATATAGAATATTTTGAGTGTGTAACTTTTATTGATATTTTTAAATAAGCTCGACAGACATATTCCCAGCCTATTTACCAGGTTGCACCCCTATGGACAATCGCTGCCTTGTAAAAACACGCCCTCTCTTGTTTATTTTGGAGTGGATCGATAAAATAACCCTTTGTGCTTTTTCTTGTTTATGATTTTTTTTCATTGTTTGGTTTTGTTTACATTGGTTTGGAGTGAGGGTGGCCTTTACTTTAAGACTGGCCTTGAGGTCAAACTGGGTTTGAGATATTTACTTTGGTTTGATCCTCTTCTCTTTTAGCAAAAATAAAGGTTAATATTAGGTGAAGAGAATTTCATTGATATCAAGGCGGTGTCTGACATATAAAGAACCGTCCACCCTTCAAGTCTGAAATCATAATATCAGGCCATTTCCTGCAGACCACAATTGCTGAATCGTTTCCTGCTTTCGATGCAGTGAGCCTGGATTTCCATAGTCTGCCTAGCGTACCGGTATATAGTAGTGGTGATGCATAGGCCTGCCGGCTGGTATCGTGCGGTTCACTGAAAACGAAAGTATACGCACCAAGCTTTCTATTATTTGGCTATTCTATGAAACTTGACAATGGAACGAACACGCCATCGCCATTCATTTCATTTGAGAGAGCTCACTTTTGTCACGGGCTTATCTGAGCATGAACTTTGTACTCTGCTCCGGTAACTATAATAAAATGAACCACGTGACTGCTCAGTGTGGAGAGAGGCCTGCACCGTAAAAAGGCAATGCTGTGGCGCTGGCCGGCAGTGAATAGAGAAAGTTAACTTGGCCAATAGTCTCGGCTAACGAACCACCAACAAGGTAAGGCTTTTTAATAAAAAGGATTACTCGTTATATTTCCGGTCGTATCAATGTGAGTTTATCATTACAGATGTTTCCGATTGGTATGAAGTGAAATTACACGGAAACAATAGGGAGATGAAACAAAGAACCCGGATTGAAACAAACAAAACAAAGATATAATGTATGTACATGTATACTGTGTTGTTAGTGTTCTGTGTGCAGCCGATGGTCTTGTCACTGGTTATGTGTCTTTCGCTTGATTATTGACTCGCTGGGAAATTTAAGGAAATAAGTGTCACCAGCAAAACATGCATATCAATAATAGCCCCTACCAACAGCCTTGCCTGTCCTTCATTCTTGGTCATATTTTACAGTGCGCGTTTAACTTAATTATGAAGTAGAACAAATACAATTTCATGTATTATTTTTGAGGAGCTGCAAGGTGGTCATAATCAGTAAAATATGAATACCGAGTGCTCAGTGAAGTATTACCATTAGCATCCCCAGCAAAAATAGCGAGGGAGTATCACTGATCTCGTACACCTCTCTGGTATCGGTTTCGATGCTTTTATATCTCCCTTGTCTGTCTAAGAAAAAAATGGGGGAAGAAAACGGTGGCCATTGAGCAGTTCAGGAGCAGTTGTGTGATTGGGTACGCGTTTAACATAGAGGTAAACCCTGTCCTTCCATGTAAAATTCAGAATCCGCCATAGGGTCCTTGGAAGCTGCAGTCTTGCTATGGTTTCAGGAATCACTTAGCGAATATTTGTGGTGAAGTAGCTGGTGTATTGGTATGCCACAGAACCCCCCCCCCATTGTGTCCACGGCGGTGGTGCACTGACGATTCCACGACCTCCAGGAGCCCTTTGCGTCACAAACGTACAAAGATCGAATCACTTTGTGAAGTGCTAAGCAGATGATTGTGATAGTGCTGTATTTAATTTAAAATGTGACCAAAACACTCTTGATATCAAATTTGTTTAGTTTCAAGGTTGATATTTTGTTTTGTTCCAAACAGTATATTAGCTCCGCACTACTGTATATTAAAGCTCCTAAAAGATTCAGCTGTCCCCTCCCCGACCAAGAGAAAAGGCTTCCCAGAATGCAGTCGGCTCTGACTGAGGCTACTCTGAGACACATTGCCTGTAACCTGGGAAAAGAGTGGAAGGCTTTGGCAACCTACTTGGGTGTCAGGAGTGATGAGGTTTACCGGATTGAAGCTGATCATCAAGGAACAGGGGAGCAGATATTCCAGATGCTGATTATTTGGTGGCAGCGATGGGATCATCAGAGTTACAATAGAAATGGTATTTCTGTGGATGTTCTCTGTGAATCTCTCATCAAATGTGGGAGAACTGATGTAGCAGATTCGTTGAGAGGTTAGCAAAACTCAATTTAAAACTGTAAGTCCTATACCCCCCCAATACCTGTTTTTAATTATACTGAAATAAAAAACGAAGGAAGTTTAAAATTATGTGACCATCACAGTCCACTGGTAATCGTAAGACTTAAATTAGGGAAATGAACGTTAACTGCATTCAATATGATTAAGAATTTCTAATTTATTGCTCTCGTAAAATATCTAGGTCCTATAGCGGGTGTGGATGACTTCAACCTTGACGTGTGCCGAGATGAGTTCATCAGATACTATAAAGACACACTGAGCGTGATTCCTTTGCTTCCCTGGCTGTCTTCAGAGGTCATAAAGATACGAGATATGTTTGTTAAGATGGCCCTTGGAGACAAAGAGAATAAGGATGGAAGATTGGTGCGGTGTTACATCAGCTCCTATGAGGACATGCTTCGTCTTGAATATGATAACGGCCAACCCGTCAGATTCATCCTGCTTTCTGGTATTGCTGGTAGCGGCAAGACAACTATCGTGTCAAAGATCGCCACCGACTGGGCACTTCAGAAACCAGGATCACCTCTCTCTAAATTCAGTCTTTTGGTTGCCCTAAGTGTGCGAGAAATGAAGCGTGCCCCTGACTTTGGTGAAGCAATATTTGACCAGATCCTGGCAAAAGATACAGTGGTGAGACAAACCTCCCTAGAAAATCACCTGAAGTCCCATCCTCAAGAGGTCCTTGTTGTTTTGGATGGAGCTGATGAGTTTGACAAAGAGGGGTTCCAGCTACCAACTGAAGGTGACATCATGGACATCATCGGCAACAAGATCCTCCGTGGATGTACCGTCATTGTCACCACACGCCCTCACATGGTGGACAAGTTATGCAAGCTCAATCCTTCTTTCACTCGCGTCGAGACGAGTGGTTTTTCAGACAGTGGAGTTCGGGAATACGTACAGAAGTTTTTCAAGGGGGAAGACCCCAAGAACTCTGCCGAACTCTGCAGTATTTTGATGGCAACCAAGAGCCTTAAGAATTTGGCGAGATCGCCGATGATGTTGTTGCTCATTTGTCTTATCTGGTCTGGGGAGCATAGCTTACCAGATACTCTAACAGAGTTGTTCCAAGAGGCAGTCATGTTCATGCTGAAACGATACTTTGTGACAACCGACCATCCTTGTCAAGGTGACGAAGAATTGTATTCAAAAGAGGTATTACAGCTGGTTCAAGATTTGGGAAAAACAGCACTTGACGGACTTATGCTTCCAGGGCAGAAACTCATTTTTGAGGCATCTGAGTTTGGACATTCCAAAAAAGTAGTAAAGTCTTGCAAAATTGGAGTGCTGTCACAAGAAAAGGTTCGTAGTAAGCTTCGTGTGGTCCAGCATGTCACTTTCTTTCACAAAACCTTCCAAGAAGCAATTGCTGGTTTTTATTGGGCCAGCCTGTTTGAGTCTGATCAAGGTTCCTTCAAAAGGTATCTCGGGCAGGTGAATGAGAAAAACGTTATAGGTCTTGAGTACCTGTTGCGATTTTGTTGTGGAGTAAATGTTAATGCTGCAGAGTCCCTCCTTAAACACGTTGTTGGACAAGGAAGCATGGAGAAATTAGGGACTTTGTTGCTTAGGTTGCATTTGGAAGCGCAGTCCAAAACATTGCACGGCATCATGGCACCTATTTTCAAGAATGGCCTCTTCTTCGATTTAAAATGGGGAGGGGACATCAGGTTGGGTTTTGAGTTTCTGATAAAGTGTTCCTGTCAGCCCTCCGTAAGTCAGTCGTGCCTAAGTGAAGTGAAAAATGTTACCATTCTTAGGGTTAATAAAAATGTCCCACTGGTTGTTGACGTACTGCGACATGCTGAGAATGTGACCGATGTCCTGTTAGATTTTAGGCCCGCCGCAAGCGTTGATACAAGCTTGCTTTTTGCCTTGGGCGACGCAATGTGTCGGTCAACATTTCTCAGCAATATATCGCTGGTCGGCAAACTCAACTTATCAGCCATGTTTAAGCCCATGGTGGAATTACCCCCGGCTAGTTTCTTGCAGGGTTTTTTCTTAAGGGGTCCTATGATTGATTCCAGGCTTTTGAAGAGATTCATTCAAAAGCAAGATAAGCTTTGCCAGATTTCGCTCTGCAATGAAAACATAAGCGAGCGGGACTGCACTTGCGAAGTTGATGAAGCTGTTGGTAATGAGGAGGCAGCTGATGTTTCATCAGGAGATCATCAAATGCAGCCATTGCAAAAATTTACAGTAAGGTACTACAAGAGTCAGTTCCTGGCAGGTTGCTTCTTTGGTTGGTCCTGTCCACACCTCCAGGTGTTGGAACTTGTGGGGGTTAACCTCCACGAGGGAGATTTTCACAGGGTCAGTGTCTTTCTCTCCCGAGCACGCCAACTGCAAGTGGTTGATTTATCCGAAAATAGAATCGGAGGTGCTTTCCTGAGGCTTGCAGAGCAGTTCATTGCTTTACAATGTCTGGAGGTGTTGATACTTAAAGACGTGGGGATGCTCCCGGATGATGTCTGTCATTTTGCCAGGGGCACTTTACCACAGTTAGCAAATCTGCGGATTCTGTCCATTGCCAGGAACAGTGCTCTCACTGCGAAGGCTTTACTTTCAGTCATTCAGGGGTCACGTCATTCCTCATCTCTAAAAGAACTTAGCATTCACAGCTGTGTAAAGGAGGAGCCTGAGGAAGAGCTCTCACAAATATCAGATAGTGACGTGGAAGATGCTTTTCCGATGGTAGAGGAGACCCAATTGAAGTATCAAGGCTCACTTGAGATTCTCTCTCTTCGTAACAACAATCTCGGTAAAAGCTCCTCCAAAGTCATAAGACTTTTAAAGGAAATGTCCTGTTTAAAATCATTGGATATGATGGATTTGCCGCTGACCGATTCCGATTTGATATTTTTCGCTGAGGTTCTTCCTTGCTGTCAGCAGCTTGAAGAATTATTCCTGTCAAGAAAGGATAAGTTTGGAAATGTTGGAATGGAAGCCCTTCTAAAGATACTTCCTGATCTACCACAATTAAAGCATATGGAGTTGCCAGCGTACGAAGACAACGAGGGCACTGACTTCATCCGAGAGTGTCTGAAACATCGATTTCCGTACAGCTCAGAGTGTCTCTTTGACCTGCCAGATATTACGAAAGTAAAACAAACCGTGCAAAAGTGCAGTGTAAAGACATAGTCAAAAATGAAAGGTTATTTACTACGTTAGGTGCAGAAACATCATTTCCAACAGCGCCAACAATCGCCACTCTTTCATGTAGAAATTGTTCCTCATTAGTGATCAAGCAGCATCGCCCATGATCACTCCACCTTGACATTTGTGGTGTCTTGAAATTTGTCACTGTTTCTGTGTACTATTATTAATATCAATATGTTATTTCAGTTATGGACTAATTAAAAATATAATTACACTTATCATTGCTTAGTTTAGGTTTCCCTTTTTATAATTGATTGTTCTTGTTTATTTATTTTGATAAATTGTCTTGTTCATCGTTTTTTTGTTTGTTGGGGTGTTTGTTTGTTTGTTTGTTTGTTTGTTTGTTGGGGTGTTTGTTTGTTTGTTTGTTTGTTTGTTTGTTTGTTTGTTGGGCTGTTTGTTTGTTTGTTTGTTTGTTGGGGTGTTGGGGTGTTTGTTGGGTTGTTTGTTTGTTGGGTTGTTTCAATTTCGTTTTGGGAGGTTGGAGCTCAGGCAGTCCTTTTTTATTGGACAATCAACCTTAGATTTGATGTTAAGTTACTTGTGAGAGAAATCATAACAGACCCATTTGTTGGCATTATTGAGCGCATCTAAGTCGGAATTGAGTTGAAGTAGTTTCTTTTAAGTGGTTTCATAATTGTAGATCCCTCTTCATAATATTGATAGGCCTATAAGTTTAGGTTATCTCAGTAAAGTTTATAATTTATCGAATGGCAGGAACTTGTAAAGGCCAGCGACACGTGGTTTGAAAATATAAGAGAAAACTGGATATTGTCTGCACAAGCAAAGCGGGATAAACTGGGAGTAATTGGAGAGGGAAAGTACGTGATCTTGGGCATCGCCTGGGTGAGGGGCAAGGTGCAGTGGCACTGGTCCTCGTGAAGATGTACTTTGCGTCGGGAAGATGTTAATTTTAATATGCAAGGATTTTGCCCATACGTAACATACATTGTTACGAATATACGTCAGTGTAAGGGAAAAGCCCGCTTTTAAATTGGCATCTGTCTTGGAAAAGTGAGCAGAAAAATAAAAATAAAGATAAAGGAAAAGGATCGAGGAAGAAAAGAGAGGAAAGAGATTGTAAATTGCTATTCTTCCATGGGAATATTTCGGAATTGCCGAATTCACGTTTGCAGTGTACCGAGTGCTTTACCCATTCCCGGGAGGAGTTATGCTTCTTCCCTGGCGACACTCATTAATATGATCTTCTCCACCAGTACATGTCGCAGTGCTATTTTGTGGTCACTCAAACTGTGTTCTAAACTGTCCAGTTGTTGCAAACAGACAGACAGCCCGACAGACAGACACGTATAGGTAGTGCATTACGTTGTTACTGATGTCCAAATAAGGTTCCTCATGGTATGTTGTGTTTTTTATTATTACTTTAATTATCGTTACTTTTTCTTCATTCCTTTTTGGTGTCAGATTGGGGGCGGGGGAGGTGTGACCCCTGAACCCCCTCCCGGATGACAAAAGTGCATAATCTGGAAGTTAACTTTAGTTCCATCTATACCCTTGCAATATACTCGAATTCGAATTTTCATATGCTAGACTCTAAGCCAATTTAAAAGCTAAACAAAAAAAAAGCCAAATTGTAATATTTGGAGTTTAACTCTGTAGACTGTATAGTGCTTTGTTGTTTGCTGGATTTATGTACTTATACAAGGTGTCCCAGAAAAAAACAAACCCTGAGGAAAGGGGTTAATATGCCCAAACCATGAGATATGACTATAATGTAGAAGGATCTTATAATTATAAGGATCTTCGAAAAGAAGAAGCAGTATTCTTTCTAATGATACCTTGATAGTATCCCTCTTGTCATGCATGACTGAACACCGTTGTCTTGAAAACGGGGCATCCGAACTCAGTTGTAACACTTTCAATAAACCAGTGAATGAGGTTGTCCTCTGTCATGCTTGTCTAGGTTGAAAGTGACAACAGAAGGTCATGTTAATGCTTGGGTGGCTTGAAAGCTCCTGTTTTCAAGAAATTTCATAACGACAAACACTCTTTGCTCTTTGGTAAGTTGTACCATGTTGCAGATTTGCTGTCCTGCTTCGAACACTTTTCAACACTGCACTGGCACACCTCGGGGCAAGTCAACACATAAAACCAGATTATTGCATAACTTGAAAGTGACAAAAGGCAATCTTTCCTCATTAACATGACCTTCTGTTGTCACTTTCAACCAGGACAAGCATGACAGAGGACAACCTCATTCACTGGTTTATTCAAAGTGTTACAACTGAGTTCGGATGCCCCATTTTCAAGACAATGGTGTTCAGTCATGCATGACAGGAGGGGTACCATCAAGGTATCATTAGAAAGAATACTGCTTCTACTTTTTGGAGATCCTTATACATTATAATCATATCTCAAGGTTTTGACATATAACCCCTTTCCTCAGGGTTTGGTTTTTTTCTGGGACACCCTGTACAAAGTTTCAGAAGACTGTTCCAATGTCTTAGCCGTATCAGCAACGCGTGGTATTAGGATTTTGTATTTACCTCCATTTGTGTTTTTTAATTACTGGTATACAACAGCAGCACGGGCTTAATGCTTGATTCTGCCGCATTCTGAGACGCGTCTCAAGCAGATGGTACTTGTTTATATCTGTACACACATACTTTATCTTAGCCTATGTCAGAGCTAATATCTAAGCTCACATGATATCAGAGCTTCTATTATTTAGTATGAACACAAAAAGTACGACTAGACACGCGCTCAGGCATTACTGTATGTAGTTAGAACACCAAACGAGAAACTGCATTCTTTTATTTATTTCAGCACAACATGGATGTAAAATCTCCAACTTGATAAGACTAAAATACAGCTAGTGTACAATATCAACTTCAATTAGACAAATTTCTATTGTTCGGTCTGATGTGTCAGTCTTAAGTGACGAAGATTTATTGTTTTGAACTTAAAATGTTAAATATGCTTGGTATATTTTAGCTTAAAAAGCAAGTCCAGAAGGTAACTAATATAGTCAACTTTCTAAGTTCATTGAAGCCAAATTTTTAATGCTTGCACTAGATTAATTTTAGTCGTTTAAATAAGGCTATAAAGGATTTTTACTAAGATGATCCTGAACACGGATTCAAAGACATGAAGTGGCAAAAGAAATGACTATCTATCTTGAGTTGTGTAAAAGGATTAATACCGTGCTAATTGAATTTACCGAAGCAGCTAATATTCGAGAAAGTAGGACATAAAATGGAATTGCGCAATTTGCAATAATAAACATACTGTTACAGTCAGAGAAATTACTGTGTGTTTTCAGACAGTAGTTTTTTGTAATGAAAACAAAAGCAATATTGTTGGCTTAAGTTAATTAATTTATGGGCTTAATTTTTACATTCACAAGACTCTCCTCACAACGCGTTGCAACGGTTACTTGGAGGTTTGGATTACTGAATTTCAAGATTGTGTGCTTACGTGAAAATTATTCGAGTATTTGAGTTCAATACAACAAAAACAAAATCATGAAATTTAAACAGTGCATGATGAAATGGAAACTGTGGGAGTTTATGTAAATCATTCCTCGTTTGACATCATGTGTAATATGTCTAGTTGTTTTTGAATTAAAAGTGTGAATCAGTATCTTTTGGTCAAACATAAATTACGGATCTGTGCTTGACACGAAATAAACACCCTCGACGTATAGCATGAGTGACCTTTTTGACAGAAAATTATTTCAAATTCTATGATCATTAAATATCCAGTACTAAATATTTGATGACACGAAACAAATGTATGACAATTTTTATTCATTTTTTGATACTTTATGATAAATAGATCCTTTAGTTTGGTACAGATGAACTTAGTAACTGAATATGTGGTGATGAACTGATGTAGCGGTAGGACATGGCGTTGGTCTGCCTAAATTGCCTGTGTACATTTACAGTTCTCATTTAGCGCGTACCCCCCCGTACGCCACACTTGCGCGGAAGTGCTGACCCACAGCATGTTGTTCACAGTGAACTCTGCCTTACGGAAGCCCGTTAGTGCCAATTTTAAATCCGCAAATTTTTCATTTTTATTGCTAAACAACGCAATAACATTGCGAAATAACGCAATAACTTTGCGGAATAACGTAATAGTGAAATAACGCAATAGTTCTACGGACATTTGGGGGTACGTTCGCAAGGTTACTCCTATTAACAAGAGTGGGATGCATGAGCATAACACTCGGGTACAAGAGTACACGCCCCCTCTTGCGAGAGTATATCCTCTCTCTGACCCGCGGGTCGTACTCCAGCCGTTCGAACGCTCAGGAGTGTATACTCATGTTAACACGAGTAGCTTGCTCGAACGCACCCCTGCGTATGCTGCATGCAGTATGAAAAGAGCAACATCAACAACTGGCGATGACCTGTTCTTTCTCTTAGACAATGATCCGTAAAAGGCCAAATGTCGTTTTAGGGTCCTTAAACTTATAATGGTATTTCACCATGATTTAATGCCAAAACCACAATATGTCATCATAACTCAAACCAACAGAAAAGTGGAAGCACAAGTTTGCGTAATGTCCTGCTTAATTAGCTTTCCTCGATTACTGTTTCACGGGAAATTACCTGCACTGCTCACTCAAGAGTGCGTTCGAGCGAGCTACTCATGTTAACGCTCAAACGGATGCAGTACGACCCGCTGGTCAGCGAAAGTATACTCTCGCGAATGGGGGAATATACTCCTGCCCCCGGATGTAATGCACATGCATCCGACTCTCTTAACAGGAGTAACTGCGAGAACGCACCCCAAATGTCCGTAGAACTATTGCGTTAGTTCGCAATACTGTTTAGTTATTTAACAATAAAAACAAATTTTGCGGAGTTAAAATTTCGGAAAGCCATTGCGTTATTTCGCAAAGTTATTGCGTTATTTCGCAGTAAAAAATGTTTGCGGAGTTAAAATTGGCACTAATTGGCCTCCGTACAGCCCCATATGGGCTCTAGGAAATTCAACGCTGTGCAGGATCTAACCACCCCTGTCTTTCATCTAAATGAAGTCTGCTTCCGTGTTGATAAGCCGCATGCCGAGAATGTACCCGTTACACGTATCTGTATCAAAAGTCATCTGAGTTGTCTGTCGTAGCTAAAGCGCCACGTCCTGGATTTCGCCCTTTTGAGCTATAAAATGGGTTTCCAACAAAATGGTATTAATTGGAAATATCAGTAAAAGGCCTACTGTAATCGTTCGCACGACCATCGTGCTTTTGCGAGGGAAGAAATTTCGTGGGTCGAAAATCTAAAACAATCTAAAATATTGACATTTGGGCGATATAGAACGGTGTCACCTTTAAAGCCGTGGAACACTGTGGCACGTAGGCCTATACGCTGAAAATCACACCATTACTTCCTGTATGGGCAACAACTACGCTATGATCAGCATGTCGTGTAGTTTATGACGTACGAAGTAGGTTCACTGCAGAACTAACGGATACCAGAACTTCCTTCCTTCATGGACCAACAATCACCGCCGAGGTAAAAATAAATTATCTTAAATGTTCGTTAAACCTGACTTTAAATGACAGTCTTTAAAACGGGTATCTGGAAAATAATGGTTGCATTAGCTACAAAAAAGGCCATGTTGCTTTGGCACCGTATGTGAAGGTGCATGGAGGCTTGCATGCAATTTCTCATGTAACTAGTATCATCAGTCTCCGACCCTTGCCTATAGAAGCAGTAAAACTCTGCAGAATCTCGACCCATTCTTAGTAAGAGATTTTAATTGCCTCTAAATGCTGTGTTGAATGCAGCTGATGCAGTTAAGCAATCTTGGATGAAGGCCTACCTTCATTATTCTGTACAGGTCTACAAAATGTGCGCGATAAGATTGCAACTCAGAGAATGAAAGTTGGGGAAATTTACTTCCAGTCACATTTTGTCAAAATAAAGCTGGGTTTTTTTGGCGAAATCTGCCGGTTTTAAACTAACACCCTTGATCCATTGTTTGCTGTAACCCTTGGTTCCGCCTTTGAATGTGGGCATGGCGATTCTTTGCCATACACTTGTGGCACCATACCTTTTCGTGGAATTTATTCATGGCATACAGTTATAGCCCTGAATATCCAGATGCTTCGCCCGCCCTCAGCAAGTAATGTGAAATGGTCAAATGTACATTGAGCTGCACGTAGGCTTTTCTTTTTATCTGAGTGCTGAAGATAGGCAAATACTTTATATCAGAATCGTACCAGGCCTAATCTGAGTACCGGTTTTCTAAGAAGCATATAGTCCTCAAAATGTTTTGATTGTGGACAAAGTCCAATCTTATATAAGTATAATCACATTTCACTGTAGTTTTGAACGTGGTGGCAGCAACCTTGCCGCCAGGCATATATACTTGACCACAGTGTTTGAGTTTTTGCTATCCTTTCTGTTTACAGGACTAGCTTTTCTTGGATATCCCCATTCCAAATATTCCAGTTGCACCTTTAGATATCCACGACGTAGCAAGCCCTCTAAGGTAAGTTCTGGGTTGAATTTATCTATATTATGTAGCTCAAGTCATTTCTGGCCTAATCTGCGAAACCGAAAACAATTTGCTCGCATTATTATTCTTCGTTGATTTTCATTCAGTTTTTGTTTTTATTACCCATTAAATTGACAATAGGATGGGTAATGCAGGCAGGCCCCAGCGGTGTTTGAAATTCGTGCTGTTTCCTGACGTATGAATGACTTCATCATTTATCGCTGCAAAGGCATTTGTATAAAACTAGATGAACCTGATTATCAATGTTACCAGTGAAAAGAAACCTCATGGACATTGATCCCGAAAAGGGGAGAAAGATCCTGTCTCAGTACCCTCGATGATAAAATGATGTACGATTTCACAGTTTGTACATTTATGTACGTTCACAAAAAATCAGACCACTAAAGCTATGCCCCGACTTGAATTAAAAAACCAAATGCAGAACCTTTACACAGTTTAACATCTACTAGATGTGATGCGAAAATTTTCTGATCAAAAATCGAACTACTGTGTTCAGGGACAAAGAAACGCCCAAAACGAATATTAGTTTGAAATTATAGTTTTGTCAACTATTTGTGGCCTTCACATCCCTCTTGCTGAAAAGTTCTCCACCTATTACAATGCTTATACTTAATCTCACTAATCAACTAATTGTTGAACTAAAGAATAGTGACGTTGAAAGAGCGTAGGTAGTCGTAACCATGTTAAAACTAAAAACCAAGACTAATTATAATACTTCAGGGCTTGTGCGGTAATATTTTTTCACACATATACACAGCCACCCACTCTGAAGTTGTACTGCTTACTAGCGTAGTGGGGACGAATGTTGTATATTTACTCTGTAGCATTATTTCAGATATATATGAAAAAGTATGAACAAAGTCTTTGGTATAGTCTTATCATGTGGACAAGTTTTAAAATCTGGATTAAAACAACCCATCTCACGATGAATAATAGATGGTCACTGTCGTGATTGTACATTGTTCCCATAGGAGAGCCATGTAGTGCATGTACTGCACCATTTTTTTTAGCACCGCGGTAACTCGTCTCTTCATATGAAAACATGCTTAAAATTTTGTTTCTCATCACTTCAGGATTCTCAGGATGCAGCCAGCATTGAGTGAGGTCAAATTAAGGCGGTTGGCCTCAAATCTTGGATCGGAGTGGAAGGCTTTGGCAACCCATTTGGGAATTAGAAGAGATGAAGTTGACCGGTTTCAAGCTGATCATCGGGGTACAGAAGAGCAGATATTCCAGATGTTGATGATTTGGTGGCAGCGGTGGAAACATCAGAATGACGATGACGACAAAGATTGTCTGAGGCTCCTACAGGTTAACCTGGTCAAGATTAGCCGATCGGATCTCGCAGAATCTCTGTCTGGTTAGTTTTGAAATTATTCGATAGTGTTGCTTGCATAAGCTTAAATATTTTTTTGAAAATGTTCAAAACTAGTTTATTTTTCATTTCAGCTTTGAAGTCTTCTCAAGTAGGTACTAATACGAATCCTTTGTTTCCTCATTATTTCCCACGTAGAGCCTATGGAATGTCTGAAGAACTGGAACACTGGCGTTTGCTGTGCAGCGTTCGTCCAATACTACAAGGATATGATGGGAGTTGTTCCCTTGCTTCCCTGGTTGCCATCAGATGTCAGTAAAATAAATTATATCTACATGAAACCAACACTCATTGAGAAAAAGCAGAAGGCAAAAGGGATGATAGAGCGTGACATCGGTTCGTATGAAGACATGCTTTGTCTTGAATGTGATGACGGTCAACCAGTCAGATTTATCCTGCTTTATGGCATTGCCGGAAGCGGCAAGACAACCATCGTGTCAAAGATCGCCACCGACTGGGCACTGAAGAAATCAGGTTCACCACTTTCCAAATTCAGTTTGTTAATCTCCCTGAGTATGCGAGAATTGAAGCGCACCCCCAATCTAAGCGAAGCTATTTTTGACCAAATCCTGGCAAAAGATACAGAAATAAGGGGTAGTTGTCTGAGACATTACCTGAATTCTCATGCAAATGAAGTCCTCGTCGTCTTGGATGGGGCTGACGAAATTGATAAAGAAGGATCCGAGCTGCCAACTGAAGGTGACATCATGGACATCATCAGCAACAAGATTCTCCGTGGATGTACCGTCATCGTTACCACACGTCCCCACATGGTGGATAAGTTATGCAAGCTCAATCCTTCTTTTACTAGGATTGAAATCAATGGTTTCCGAGAGAGCGAAATCAGCGAATACATCCACAGGTTTTTTCATGGTGAAGCCCAACAACGTGCTACAGATTTGTATCTGTATTTGGCTGCATCTGAAAGCCTCCACAATTTGGCAAAAATACCTATGATGTTGTTGCTCATCTGCCTTGTCTGGTCAGAGGGACAGAAACTCCCTGAGACATTAACAGAGCTTTTCACAGAGGCAGTCTTTTTCATCATGAAGCGTTACTTTTTGGCAACGGGTAAACTGAGCACGTGTGACGAAGATGAGTTCCTGCAAAATGAGTTGAAAGATCTGGTACAAGCATTGGGCAGAATAGCTCTAGAAGGTCTGATGCTCAGTGGACAGAAATTGATTTTTGAGCCTTCAGATTTTGGAAATCCCGCAGTGGTTGAAAAGGCGTGTAAAGTAGGGATTCTGTCTCAGGAGAGAATGAGAAGTAAGCTGCGCACGGTGCAGTGTGTTACTTTCATCCACAAAACTTTCCAAGAGGCGATTGCTGGATTTTATTGGGCTACACTTGTAGAATCCAACAGAGATCTTTTCGACCATTACTTCCGTCTGATTCCAGATGATTGGAAATCCTCCACCCTGGAGTACGTGTTTCGGTTTTGTTGTGGGGCAAATGCAAAGGCAGCAAAGCATTTGCTCGCCCACGTTGTCTCCTCTTTCAGCTGGGACAGCCCAAGGGTGTTGAGATTTGATGATTACAAGAATGTCAGCATTTTGGATAGCGATATTGGGATGAGGCTGTATAACAGCATTTACACACAAACGAACCTTTGCCTTTTGATGCACTTGGAGGCGCAAAACAGAGAATTTCACAGCCTCATGAACCCAGTCTTTAAAAATGGATTATCATTTGACTTGAAATGCTCCACGGACATCAGGCTGGCTTTTGCTTTTTTAATCGAGTGTGCCTCAGTTGGGCGTCATTCTTTCCTCACATTGTTGAAGAAAATTAATATAGAGAGCATCGATAAAGACAGCGCTTGTGTAGTCGCCAGGATATTGAGACATTCAGTCATTGCGACAGACGTCGAACTAGAGTTCCATTCAGCGCCCTTCCCGAAGAATAAGAACGTCAATTCCGATTGGCAGTTTTCTATGGGTGATGCTCTTGGCTCGATGCAGTCATTGAAAACCCTTTCCCTTTATTGTCGACCTTTCCCAGTCAATCTAGATTTGTCTCCCATGTTCAGATGCTTTGCTCAGTCAACCACTGTTAAATTGGAATGCTTTGCATTACAGGGGTGTGAGGTTGATCCGAGATGCTTGAAACAGTTCTTTGGAAACCAAGATAAGCTATTTCAACTCGGTCTCAGCAGTCGGAGTCTTGTTCACCTCAAGAATAATGATCACTTTTGGATCGGAGTCTTCGAAGGCCTTCAGACGCAGTCTTTGAGAGTACTGGAGATCAGTTTCTCCAAACATACAGGCACTCGAACTGTACATCTTCATCAGTCTTGCCCGGATTTGCAAGTGCTGAGGCTCGTCGATGATGGTCTTCATCAGGAAGATCTCCTGCAGATCTGTGCTCTCATTCAAAAGGCCCCTCCACTCCAAGAGATTGATTTGTCAGGCAGTAAGATCAGGGAAGCTTTTCCGAGCTTAGCTAAGCAGCTCCCGAAACTCATTCACTTAGAGGTTTTGAAACTGAACGATACAGGCTTGCTCTCAGACCAAGTTATCTTCTTAGCCAATGAAGTCCTTCCAGCCTTGTCAAATCTGCGGGTCTTGTCACTTTCTCGTTCATATCATCACTTTGCTGAATCAATATCCCCAGATTCTCTACTGTCAGTCGTACGATGGTCATGTAATTCGTCGTCCCTGAAAGAGCTTGGCATGAAAGGATGCGTAATGCACCTTCCTCATAGAAACGAACCACAAGCTGAAGATACCGGTAATGAGGTTCTTGCAATTGGAACTATGCATAGTAGTACCACCAGGCTCTGCTCACTTGAGATCTTAGATCTTCATCGAAACTATCTTGGCCAATTCACTCCTCAGTTAATAAAACTATTGAGGAGAATGCCCGCTTTGAGGATCTTAGACATGAATAGCATGGGGCTGACTGATTCTGACGCAGTCCATCTGGCAGAGGTTCTTCCCAACTGTCAGAGGTTGCAGGAGTTGAAACTCGAGGGAAATGATGACAGCTTAGGAGAGGTTGGGGTCAAGGCACTTCAAAATGTTATGCGCAAGCTACCCGGCATGAAAAATCTCTACATGAATGTTCTAGTTGAACTTTAAACGAAACATGCTTTGAAGGTGGATCTGTCACATGTGCAAATTGTTGATTTCTTTCCAATACAAAAATTGCCACAGCGTCTCTGCAGTTCGTGCCCTTGAGGAACACCGGGATATTGCACTTTGCAAATTAATGTCAACAGCACCCCACACCAACCGCAGCTTTCTGATTACATGTTCAAGTGAGTGTGTCGATTTGCGTGCTGCGCATGTGTTGAGCATAATTAATATTACAGGAAGGACAATAAGCTAAGAGGCAATATGAGCAGTACTTCAACGTAGTTGAAGTGTCTATGATGCCGAGCCTGTGCATATGGGCAAATAACAAATACAACAAAGTTTAAAAATAATCATAGGACTTTTCTCCTTGAAGTCTTAAAAACAATTCTTTGAAACGTCAAGGGAAGGAGGAATGTCAAAATATGCACCTTGATAGGCTGTGTCACAGCTGAATCAGAGTAACCACATTTTTTTAGTCTTTTCCCTGGCAGGGCCATGATTGCTGTTGGCCATTGTAGTTTTGTATTAATCAACTTGGTTCACCTTTTTGTTAGCCCTGGCCCAGCTTTGGAATGCAGGGGCGTGCATGAGTGCACCCTTGGCACTCGCTGAATGTGGGTGTGAATGTATATAAGGATTGATTAAACAGGGTGTGGTGTGAGATTTGCTATGGTAGAGGGAACACGGCGTTCTGATTTATGCTGACTTAGCCATTTTGGTTAGCTTTTGCCATCCCTTGGCTATTGGCACAGATGATTGAGGATTTGTGAAGTTATACCTTATGGCTTTTTATTTTAATTGCCTGGAATTGGTTTAATTTGCCATCTTGACAGAGTTGTTGTACTCGTTTTGGCAAGGCGTAGTTTGATAATTTTCTATTGTAGATGGTCTTTATATGATGTACATGGATCGGCGGATCCCTGATGTTGTACGCAGCCCAGTTAATCTGTGAAGCCTAGAGAGAGTCTTTAGCTGCCAGGAATCCCATTGGCAGAGTGAAGCCTCGCTGTTCCCGAACCTGTGTAGATGAAACTACAGGCGGCTCTCCACAGCGTCGTCCTGCTCTTGCGATCCAAGTAGCCTTAGCGATCTGGACGATGGGTGTGGAACTACCGTAACTGCGATGAGCACCATTGCAAATCTCCCCTACATAAGTAATTTCTTATTGTTGTATAACATTCTGATAATTTATTTTAATCCCTTTGTGTTTGGCTTTATTTTGTGAATATGATTGAAAGTTCAAGATATTTGATTTATTTGGTTTGTTGCCCCTGTTTAAAAGTCACACGTCGTGGGAAATTTACTGATTTTTTGCTATATAAGTGTCCCCCTTGTGGTAAACTACTTGTGGTATTGTGATATTTTGGTTATAAACGTGTAAATTGTTCGACTTATTTGACTTGTCTGGATATTAAGTAAGGAATTGCAGTTTGAAGTAAATCTGGCTAATTTACTATATATCCTCCACAGTGCGGATGGATTGTGTGGTTAGGCGTTTTAACATTGAGCCTTGAGAATTGACCGGCAAATTAAGGATTCTAGAACTGTTTTATATAAAGAAAGGTTGTACAAGAAACTGACAGTTTTGTAACGTGAATTGATGATTGAGCATTACAAATATTGAGTAATTCGTATAAAGGAATTTGACCGTGTAAAATAAGAATTGGTCAGGAAACTCAATTGTAAGATAAATCTGGTATGATTGATGAATTTGCCATTTTATGGTCATGGGCCAAGTTCTGCATTGAGGGACATTTTGACTTTGTTATTTCCCCTGCAATTTCAAGTTGTGCATAATTATTGTTTTGAATAAATTTAGATGTATGTATTGTAAATATTAAAATTTTGTGTAAAGTGATCTTCTTGCTAGAGTTCCCAAAGACTGTGACAGGCTGTAATTATTTTTACTATTTAGCGCTGTCGGAAGAGGGAAGAAAAAGACAGGACTCAACAGTACTTTAATAGTGATGGGGCACAATAGTAACGGCAAGTAGGCTTAGCTCCCACAACAAACATAACTCCATATAGAAAACAAACACAATAAAAAGGGTGAACTGAATCTGCTTGCCCTGAAAGCTCGGCAATCACATATTCCAGCCTGAGAGCACCGATTTTATATGATATTCTTGTCTATATACAATTAAAAAAGGTATTTTCTCATTTTGGGTTAATTTTATGTCCCAAACACAAAATGAAGCATATCGGAACCGATGCCATGCAAATGACTGCCTTCTTCGCATTGGAACGTGGAGAGTACTTTCTGATAATGAAATGTGTCAAAAAATTAAACAAGTGTCAGTGTCCGGAGTCAAAGGGATATCGTAAATGATCCTAAGATATCCTAAACTGGATGCGGAACTGTACAATCTTAATTCTATTTACTGATGTATTTCTATAAACCTTCCTGGGATAGGCCTAGACTCCGTTTCTTGTGTTCTCGTAAAGGGATACAAGGCTCACAGTGTAGCTTTCGTCCCACTCAACCAGACTCCAAAGTGCAAGGGGTTGCCCCGTTCCGCCTCGCCTGGAACTGTTAAACACCTCAAGTAAAAACTTTAACATGCTTTGATACTTGATCCTACTTATCTGATTACCTTAAAATTAATCATGCATATTTTAAAAGGTCGCATGGGATGATGTATAAAATTTTATCAGTTTCTGTTTTTGAGAATGTGATTTGATGATTCAGCATAAGGGTTTGTTTCCATGTTTGCATCGTTTGTCAAATCTCTTGCAGTTCTCTGCAAAATTTACGTTAAGGAAATGCTTGAGACATGATTTAGGGGATTAGTACGTGCCTTATTCAAAGTAGTAAACATTACATAAATTGCAATGGTTTTGTTTTTCTGCAAACTTCTATGACAACCGAGGAACTTGATTTGAGGTATTTATAACAGACGGTCATTATCAAATTGTAAGGGACAAATGGGAAGGTACATAGAACAAAACCAAACCTGTATACCGGAATCAATTATAAAAATATAAACAAAATATACAATGCTAGATAATACGGTCAATTTACAGTCCAAGAATTTGCAACGCGTTGACCAATCACAGTCCGCGAAATCTGTCCGCCCTCGTCGCGCAATGAGGTTGGTCAACACGTTGCAAACTCTTGGAGGCGCACTATTGTGAAATGCCCGTGTAGGCCAGTGGCATAGGCACAATTATTTAGTAATTGAATTTTGAATTTATGAGGTGAAATATTTTGTATGCAATATGTTGGAATTTTATTTTGCCCCTCAATAATAGAAAGTTTACTTTGAAACACACATCATAGTCACTTTACACAAAATGTCCATTCTCGGAGATGTTACGACAGAATTCAAGTGTGTACTATTTCAATCCACATTAACTAAAATTTAGCATGAAAATAAGCAAAAGTGCCGGGATGTGGTTTTCCCAGCTTTTTAATTTTTAAATACGAAGTGGAGAATTTTAAGTTTAATTAAGACATGCTATGGACAGCTTAAAATATACGAGACGAGGCCGTAAAGCTGAATCCGATGAATCGTCATCCCGCCGGCCCGCAGCTGGCTGGACACCGGCGCTAGATATAGAACCGCAATTGTTTTAGTAACTGTCATTATAAATAAGCGACCAACTGATGATTATAGACATCATGAACCGGTATAAAAGTTAAGTTAAATTTCGTGTGTATTTGTGAAGGAAAAAGTTACCTTGTAATATGTAAGTGTTATAAGACTAAAGTTCACTCCATTAACCTTTTAAAAAGACGTCAAACATCAATAACAAAAACCTTATGTTGGTTCTGAATTTCAGTATACTAAAAAGTTGATTCGTTGCATGTTTGTCCTCGATGAGTTTTGTGGATTTCAATGAATGAAGGATACTACACGTTGTGTGTTCCATCCACACACAAAAGCGGACTGAGAAGCTGCGCAATGAAGATGTTGCATACTTGCATCGTTTTCGAAGGGTAAGACTAAGAGGCCTTCAACGCCTTTTTGAAATGGGTTAGTGAAATTCTTAAATCGCATGTAATCTGCATTTCTATTATATATCCTGCACTGGGCAATACATCAAAAACAATCCCCCACACTCCCACCCCAAGAAAATTCTAAAATCTCATCATTATTCTCTTATTACGGAAGAACATAATTTATGTATTTTAGCGTCACGTGTAAAAGCCAGATGGTTCTTTGAGTTGTGTCGAAATTTATTTCAATTATACAAAATTTGGGGGCAGCTATATGCCCCCGTACTCCGTCGATTGAAAAAAATCGCTACCCCAGACTCTTCTGATGGATATTAAAATGCTAGAAAATTGGGCAACAGACTTTCAAAGATGGCAGCGTCCATAAACTTACATAACTTGTAACAACGACCCCTCGTTATGAAGTTTTACTGGAAGGTTCCAGCTGAAATTACAAGCAGAACTCAATTTTATTTTACTGCCCCGGTTGTGTCATACATGCTCAAGGTAATTATTAGACCTGTACTTTTTTTCTACTTCGAGAACTCAAAGTCACTAACGTTACCCCGTGTGCAGGGGTGAACTAGCCCCACTAGTGTGGCACGGACTCTCACTCCCGATTTTTAGGATGGATCGGGAGTGAGAGTCCGTGCCACACTAGTGGGGCTAGGGGTGAACATGCTACGCTGGCATGGTGGATGAGTGGGTATGTCGCTATGGGTACAAATAAAACCCTCTGATTGGGCCGAGTTAATTACATTAAGTCTTGCATGATTCATTCATGAGAAAATTTTGACCCAGAAGCTATGCGCTGTGCTTTACATATACATCACACTGCAGGACCCTAGTAGGGCCTGCCTCATGTTGTTGAGCTCATGAGAAGTGCACTGTATGCATATTGCACGGTGTTGAAAACTTTTCGCAAGTTTATGCTTGAACTTTGAAGTATACTAATTTCTGTCTTTGTGATTATACATACATGTATGTGCATATGTGCATGTACGTGTACAGTAAAGTAGACTTGAAAATCTAGCTCTGTGCGGAATGACGCTTGTGTGATGAATCACAGAAAGAAGTACAACTGTAGCTGCACATCAATGTCGCCAACAACAGCCCTAGGCCTACTTGTACATGTACATGTACATGATGTACATGTACATGGGCATGTACAGGGCAAAAGAAATGCACACAATTCCCATAATTACAAGTGACTACAACAGGGCTCAGTTCTCTTTCCACAGAACTCTTAATTTCAAGTGGGCTATGTGTGTGTTAAAAATACATGTATGAAAATTGTTGGCCTTTGTAGTGCATGTTAAAGTGGACAACCCAATTTGTCATGAAGCTAAATGTAGCCGTGATGTTGCAATCGTAGGAATCTCATTTAATGAACAGGGTGAAACATAAGGGGATATATGGGTATGATCATTCAAGCTCGAAGGAACTTGAAGACATTCAAAACACAGTTATAAATTCCACAACTACACGTACGACGACAATCAGAGGCGAATCCAGGATTTTCCTAAAGGGAGGCGTGATCCCAGAGTGTTAACGAAAGCAGTAATGGTAAAATGCCCGTGAGCGTGCAGTCCTTACGGCATAGGATCTGGGGCATTTTTGGATTCTAGGCCACTATGGTGCAATTTCTCCATCCGTCTTCTTCTTCTGTTTTAAATTAATTAATTTATTTATTCATTCATTTTGTGTGTGAAAAAAGGGGGGGCATGCGTCCCGCACTCCCCCTTGATCCGCCCTTGTGTGTATCTTTTGGCCTTTGAACCTAATGCATCATGTACAGTATGACTACATGTATTTTGTGCACAACTCTATGGGACTATAGCGAATATGTGGTCCAGAAAAAAAAAAAAAAAACGCTGCCGGTGAAGTTGTTGGTTGTTGCATGTTTGTTGTCATGGGCATGATGAGATCTTAATGCTAAATGTTTCTGGAATCAAACTGTTGAGGTAATGATCTGGTGGGAAGAGTTCAATATGCGGATGCCACTTAATTGACATCCCATGCACAAACCTAGTGAGTATGAGATTGGTACTTTCTCAGTAAAAGACTTGATCATCATAATTGAATTTTTCTGGACATGTTTTTGCTTTCTGCATGATGGCTAATAGTACAGGGCTAGGTCACTTTAGGGAATAATTAGGAGCGTCTGTATATGGAACTCTACCCAAACGGTGTAACAGAGGTTTCAGACCACGAGACCAAGTATTTTCTGAAAAATCTGAGATCTTTACGGTGGTTTGAAATTACTTTACGTTACTTACATGACTTATTCCTCATTTGACGTTCAACGTTCAATGTTGAACAAGTAACTGTTTGATATTTGAACGTTGAATAAGTAATCATTTGACATTCAGGATGCACATCCCTAAAAGCAATGGAGTGCCAGAGGGACAAAAAACAAACTGTCATGACTATGCCAACTACATTAAGGGCTTGTTTGACCCCGAAGAACCTGGGTTGCAAGGACTTGTCTCCGATTGAGGAGAGAATGACATCAGATTCAGTGTGATCTCCAAGCGGGGCATGTGGGTATTGGATTTCAATTGGAGAAAAGTGTGGTGTGATGCATTAAAACTTTCCCTTTCTAGTTTGCAAAAGAAGAACTCAACAGACAAGACTCGTTAAAACCGTTTCGACCATGGAAAACTGCCTTTGCCCTAGTTGAAATGGAGGCAAAGGGGGCACTAAAGTGTACAGAAGCACTTTGAAAAAAAGTACACGTACATGTAGTTTAGATCTGGGGCGTGTGATTGATTTATCATTTCGATAGACTGAAATATACCGTGACTTTCGATGAAATGGCAAGTATATAAAACAAACCGTTTTTCCTTCTAATAATTATACTGGCGTAAAAAGCCGTCGCCTACATTTCAGGGCTTGTTTGACCCCACAGAACCCCATGCCCTACTGTATTTGCATTGTGTAGGTTCCCTCTATGGGAGAGAGTTGTTTGTGTATACATGTACATTATTGTGAAATGGCACGTACAATGTAAATTGGGTACATGTGAATGGATGTTTGGCAGAGTGTCTTTTTTGTCCCTTTTGCACTCCATTGCTGTTGGGGACCCTGAATGTCAAATGGTTACTTGTTCAACACTGAATGTTGAACATCAATCTAGGAATGAGGAACTACCTTGTAACTTCACATAGGTAATGTTTACTCACTAATCTGTCGTTTCCACCCGATGGTGATCGCTCTGTTCGTGCCGTGCATATTTATTACATTCCACATGCGTCGGGCCAGCCAGCAGCAATTTTTTTTCATAATTTTTTATTTTTAGTTTGTGTTTATTCTCTTAAAGAATTGTAATTTTCTGACAAATTTCTCACCTAATCAACAAGTTAAGTCATTTCTTTCATAAAAAATTTGCAAACAGTAAAGCTTTTGTGTGCAGAACTTAAAACCACCTACTGATGTGATGGATGCCCATTGCGTGTCATAGAAATGGCAAGACTGATAGCACAGATTCAAATAAATATATACATACAAGTGTAACATTAAGAAACAACGACTTGGCTTATTCTTAGCGACAAAATGAAAGGGTACAGGCTATTGAAATCATAGGTGAAGTTAGATCCTGGAAGAAGTGTGTGGTTTTCACAGAAAGTAAACCTCAGGTGCATACGTATAATCATGTAAATTCTGAAGGTGGGATCTAATTTGATAAACAGTTAGAATAACGTGCTCATACTGTTTACATGTTGAAAGGTGAAGCCAACACTTTTGTGCTGTGAGACACTCACTGCTGCCTACATGTAACTTGGTGTTTACTTGTATAATAATGCACATGGACATGGTATGATCAGCCTGATAAATGGAGACAGATCAATCAGTGTTAGAGAGCATCAAAATGAACAATTTTTCTTGTTTTACATTCAATTTTTCCCCCAAAAGTAGATAGATACAGAAAGAAAATAAAACCACTGTGCGGTTACGTATAAGAGGAGTACATTCATTTCGTCTGTTTCAAAAAGAACACCGAAATCGTGTCGGTCAAATGTCAAACCTGAAAAAAGGGGTTCAGTTTAAACAATTTGGAACATCTGTAAGAGCTTTTTAACTTTTTCCGTTTAAACCTTTGAACATGCAAATTTCTCACCCTTAAAAACTACCTGATTTTCTGTATAAATACAGAAAATGTACTGTTCTTCCGTGCAAGTTATTAGTACAACTGAGAGCGTGGGGATAACATAATTCTACAGGACTTTATCGTTGGATTTTGACATACATGTACCAAGAAATTTCATGTAAACATTCATTGGAAACAACAGTTCATACTGAGCAGCCCCCTATTTATTTCAGGTATCCCAAAAGTGGTGTCAAATTACTTGCAGATGGACGTCCACAAGACCTACTAGCAGAAGGTTGCCTATTGTCCACCATGATGACTATGTGTGCACGCTGCCGCCCAAACATCGCTTCCCTATGTCCAAATTCACCAAAGTTTACAATCACTTGCTACAAGATGGTGTTATACAGCCAGATCAGGTTGCTGTGCCAACACTGGTTACCATGGAGACAGCAGCGTCCGTCCACACAACTGACTACGTTGACAAATTTTTTAGCGGAAAGACAAGTGAGAAGGAACAGCGAAGAACTGGATTTGCATGGACTGAGGGTTTAGTAAGGAGATGTCGCATGGAAACTGGTAAAATATGCTTCTACATCGCATACCCACCCCAAAACCAATCCTTGTAAAGTTTAACCTGCCATGTATTCATGAGTGTCATGTTTTGTCAAAGATCTATTTCCAAGGATGGATTGTGCTGGGGAGATGTTAATTAATTTTGGATTTTTTTGCCCTGCCTGACGTGTATTATAACACTGTATACTCAGTATTTGCTCCTGAGGGCTTGGGAAATCCATCCTTGGTAATAGTTTTTGTGGTACCCGCTGCTACATCTGACTTGAACCAGCCAGCCGACACTGATGAGCTCGGTGGTTGAGTGGTTAAGATGTCTGCACTGCACATGTAGTAAGCTGGAGGTCGTGGGTTCGATTCTCACCCGAGTACGCTTGTGGTTTTAAAATTAATTGTCAAAAATCTTCAGCTCCATCCGTTGTCTGCATGCGCCCTCAATGTACATACATGTACATGTCATTTGCATCTAGCGAAAACCTCCATTGCACACATGCAGCTCCCTAAAGACAAGATTTGAATGTCGTGCCCAAAGAAGGCTTTGTGTTACAACAAAAATGGGTTCTGTCAAGCAGACGGGGATGTGGATTATACCCTGTACGTACATGTACACGTAACCCAACTCATGGTGGACTTGGGGCCTTAATTTTCATTCGAATGTGCAGTTGTGCATAAATCCAAGCCTCTTCATGTGAGATTGATAATCACTGGCAACTTACAGAATGTATATGTCATGATAGTTTGAATGCTGCGAGATTACACAGTACTGTACAATCATGTTGCTTTTACAGTGTTCAGGATAAATAATCCTCGGTCATGTGTATGTGGCATGCAGTGCCATACAATCATGACAATTAACCTGATTGCGGGTTCAAGCATATGCGTATGGTTCAAGTTATCCTAGGTCATGTGTATGTGGCATGCAGTGCCATACAATCATGACAATGAACCTGATTGCTGGTTCAAGCATATGTGTATGGTTCAATTTATGCTGTCAAACCTCATTAATAAGAGGTCCTTCGGACTTGGCAAATTACCTTGTTAGAACAGGAACCTTGTAGTATTAGGAATAAAAACAATGAAGACAAAAGACTGCTACCACCTAGGCAGAATCTTGTAATAACAGTGGTCTTATTAACAAGGTTTGACTGAACCCGGACGGGGTGAAAGTGGGGTTGTGCCGGGGGGTACACAAACATACAGTATATGTGCTTGCATCCCATGCAAAATCATGCATGGCCAATAAGCCTTTTCCGAGTTAACTTTGACCCAAATCTGGTACACTGAGTTCTTTAAATTCACATGAATGTAAAAACTTGAAGTCTCCATACTAAAACCGCTGTTGCTATACCTCATGATTCAGGGCAAGCTTTTGCTCAGTTACATGTACATACATGGAAGAGATGCCTTGCAACAATACACTTTTCTCAATGAATAAAAGAAGCGCACAAAGGAACCAGTCCATTTCAGAGATGGCGGTCGCTATGCGAAAGCTTGCCCCGAATTACGAGGTATAGCAACAGTGTCTTTAGTCTGGGGAATTCAAATCGTCGTTTATGTGCAATCAAATAACTCTTTGTGCCAGATTTCATTCAAATTTAACTTGCAAATGGTTTATTCTTTGCCTTTCATTCAGGCGGTACTGTTCTGGCAGCGCACATGGCCCTGTCTAGAGGCCTGGCCTGCAGCACAGCAGGGGGTACCCATCATGCCTATCCAAACTTTGGCTCAGGGTTTTGCTTGCTGAACGACTTAGCTGTAGCTGCAAGACAGGTCCAGCTCATTGGGAAGGCGTCCAGAATTCTTATCCTTGATCTTGATGTTCATCAGGTAATGCCTGTACTTGAATGGTGTATGTATAACACATGGAAGACAAACTTGTGTTTATCTTTTACTCTGTTGTTAATCCCTTGCCTCTGCAGTTCAAGTGGGGTATGATAAATAATGTAACAGGAATGGTACATGTGCATGTTCCACTCCAAGGTCAAGAGTCCATCCATTCGGCCTCAAATAATGCAAGAGGCTTTGTGCTACATACAGTCACTGTACAGAATACCGGTACGTGTAGCTGGTCCTGTATTACTGTGCCATATAACTAGGCTTCCTGAATATGCAGTGCTCTCACGCTGGGATAGGTCCAACATGCATGTACCTTTGTGTACTGTGTTGTTATAACGAACAGTTCTCTTAAAGTGCATAATACTGTAAAGTGTCTATGTGCTTCATTATCGTTATCCCAGCACATTGGGCTCATACTAGCCCAATACTGCCATAGCAGGCGCACACACAGCTAAACATAATGTTCTGCCCTCACAGGTACATGTACCCATTTACTCCTGGGTGGAGAGAGGCTCAAAGGGGTAAAGTGACTTGCCCAAGATCACAACATGCTGCCACCAACTGGATTCGAACCCCTGACCCTATGATCAGAAGCTACAAACCCTAACCACTCTACCAGATGCCCCCATTTCTCAGTGTGCTCATGCAGTTTTCAACTCCATGCCTTCACCATGAATATCTCCATTTGCATTTTGTAAAGAAATATCTCTCCCCACTTGATCACAAATCTTTCAATATGAACTCTCCACTGTTTTCCTTCTTAAACCAACTTCGTGGTGCATGTATTTGGTTTTGCCTGCAGGGTGATGGGACTGCCTTCATTTTCCAAAATGACTCCAGCGTCTTCACTTTCTCTGTCCACTGTGGCAAAAACTTCCCTTTCCGTAAGGAAAAGAGTGACTTAGACATCAGTGTTCAACCTAAACTGAGAGACAAAGAATACTTATTGATTGTAAAGGAACAGTTGCCATGGATACTGGAAAGTTTCAGGCCTGATCTTGTCTTATATGATGCAGGAGTGGATCCTCATAAAAACGATGACCTAGGAATGTTATCATTAACAGATCAAGGTTAGTTAGTACTTCAGTCTTGTTCAACCATTTGGAGCTGTATACATATTTTTATCATTTTTAACACCTCATACGGAAGGTTTTGTTGCTTGATTGGCCAAGAATGCATCATGTGGTAGTCTCCGTTTTGTTTGTGTAAGATTTTACCATGCACTGCATTAGATCGCAGTCTTCCTCAGGGTAGTATTGCATTGTATATGCATGTTTGTATAAGGCACAAAGTTTGTACAACCAATTTTCAGCGGAATGTGTACAAATCTGCAGAGTCTCAGTGTGAGAGGAGTCTGACCAGTGTCAGTAATGTTTTCCATTTTTCCCTCCTTGTGAATGTTTGCGTGTACTTGCAGGCTTACATGACCGAGATTACTGGGTGATCGATCACATTACATCCCGTGGTATTCCCTGTGCGTGTGTTATAGGTGGAGGATATTCTAAGGATATTGGTGTTCTGGCAATGCGTCACACAATAGTGCATCGTGCAGCAACTAAGGTAAAGTGTACATGTACGTCTAGGCATCTCATCACAATGACTCACTTCCCATGCGAGGTTTCTGCCAGAAACTTCCTGAGTAAAATCCAGCACTTTCTTGGAAGTTAGTCCTCTGGTGAAACTGTAGACAGTTTAAGGTAATAAGGTTGAGGGGTTTTGAACAAGTCTGTATCTTTGCTCTAAGTGTGAAGGCATTTCTGAAACCAGTGCCTCCTTGTAGCATATCTTGTACCCCCATATCCAGTATTAAAAGGAGAAATTCACAGTTATCGGGTGATACACTTCACACTTTTGTTACTTCAAAGAAGAGGGATTTTTTTTATTCAAGATGCTGAAAAGTATACAGTTTGATTAGTTTTTAAGCTCAGAAGATGTATCATTTTCGGAAAAAAGTTCAAAGCTACTTGCAAATTCACAAGTTCAGCCACTCTCCAACCACAGCCCTGGTTTCAGTATTCAGTGAAGTCCATTGCCCAAAATTTAGACAGTTTAGTTTGGCCCTCCAGGTTTGGGAAGAGAGAAGGCTTTGATGGAAACAGCCAACATTCATGGTTTTCCTTCAATACTACTGAGTTGTATTCTGATGCTGAAGAGCAACGTGTATGATACACAAACTGGACCTACAAAAAGGCTGTTCCTTTGGGTTGTCGACAGAATCTTTGTAGACGGTGTGAACTTCGGATGCTTTTAGGTATTTATTCCTTACATGTCGTGTTACAATAATATAAGAGTGGTTGACGACAAAATGCAGACATTTGTCAACATAATGTACTTACATGGGCCTTGTTTGTAAGTGAAACCTTTCTTTTGAATTGGTTGGATTAATGACAATCACTGTTCGCAGTCATTGCAATGATTACTAAAAAAGGCAGAGATAAGTTGTTATAAACTCTGGTATGTCTTGACCCATTCAAATACAAAGCTGCAGTGTTCTGAATGTCGGAGGATTATTGTAGTTTACTGTCAAAAGTGTAAAGACAATTTCAGCCAACAAAGGATTTTTGTATAGAAAAAATTGCCACAGTATTTTTAATGTCTGTCTGCAATAATTGTTAACATAATACGGGTACACAGTATTCATTACATGACTTTTATACATCTACCTGTACATTTGCCAACCCTTCTGGATTATGGGAGAGAATTATATCTTTCAAACACTCTTAAATTTGATTGTATGTCAATGAAATCTTCTTTGAGTTCTCTTTGAAGATCTTCACTTTGGAATGATTTATGTGAGAGTAACTTTGAGTATCAGGAATTGAATGGATTCTGTAAACTGAATATTGGAAAACATCTACGTGTAGTTCACATTGATGCAAATTTCATGCACCGGCCTACATCAGTGAACCCCTTCATGACCATGTTTCAGCCAGCCGGGCTAAAGAACCAGCAAGATGTCCTCTCAGATCACTTTGGTGGATCAAAGGACTCAATAAAATAACTTAACAGTTATCTTGACAACAGTCCCACTAATTACACCACAGAGATAAGATTGTTCATTCTAATTTACTGGACATTTCCTTAAATTATCCACCAGTTTTCGGCATTGAAAAAAGTTCTTTATTGGGTTTCATTGGAATGGGCATTTTAATAAAATATTAGGGAAAGAACCTGTTCACAAAAAGCATATTAAAGAAATGAAATTTTTATCCAAATGCACCAAATGAAATAACACAGGGGATCACAAATAATTTAAATGCTTTGTTCAAACACGTATGTGTATTTATTGAAAACAAAAACTTTTACCCCAAATCAGACTTTATTCAGTACCCGGCTGTGCTATACATTTTCATGTTCATAATATAAAACTGCAGGAGATGACATATTTGATTGTATTTGCCGAATACCTGACTTATCTATTGCACAATTTTTTCTTCATTATATTCCTATCGCAAAGCAATAAGTACTTGTATACGGGGCATGCAATAAACATGTTTGTCACCTGACATCTGGGTTAGGATACTCCTTTTTGCTGTAAGATCCTTTTAGTTCAACAGCTGTTTGGAACTGACCCCCTTTAATATATGCTCACCCTATAATGTGGCACAGAATGGCAGGCAAAAAGGTGTAAGGAACTTTGGAAATACACATCGTCCAAAATGAAGTTTGTTTTTGAGAGATATTTTTTTCCAAGTTCGTTACTCGAGTGAGTTTGTTCACAGTGCTTTTTTACAAAATATATTTTTCCATAGTTCATTTTACAAGATATATTTTTCAAATCTCTTTTAATGAGACAGTCAATGAAAGACTTCAAGCCCTCCAAGCCTACGATGCCGTTGATATTTTCTTGTTGTAATGTGATTTGACAACTATGTGATTTGACAAGTGCATACGTTCAAGTAAACATAAACAAGTTTTTCTTGGAGTAAGGCTGTACAAACATAAATATGATACAACTGTGTATCTGTTACAAACAAACTTGAAAAAATGTATTTCATAAAAATGAACTCTGAAAAATGTTCTTCTACTTTGCACTAGTTTGATTTTGTACTATTCCTTCAAATGCTTCCTACTAATGTTCCTTGCCTTGTTGGTTCACTAGCCAGCAAGATGAGAAAAGTTAGTAACTGCAGCTGAGAGAAGGTACCTTTTCACCTGAAAAACCAATGACATAGCAGTGATTTCAGTAAAATTAATAATGAAAGGAGTGGCGGTGGATAGACAGTGAGTAGGGTAGACTGGAACTAGACCCGCACTCTTATGTGAACAGGTACCAGCTGCAGGGCCTACTTCAAGCCATGACCACTCAATCACCGGCCAATTTTACTTGGTACCCATGCTATACTTTGTGCATCGGTTACAAGGTAAAATGGTATAACTGGTCGGCAAATGGTCATCTCTTGAACTTGTCCCTGGAATTTTGTAGTGCTCTGGACTGTGATGCATTGTTTACTCCCTGTCCTCCAATTGTTATGCACAAGTATTATTTGAGTGGAACCAGACATCTGTTTGCCATGGTAACTGGGTGGCCACTGATCATCTGAGTACCCCTGGATCCACCAATGACGGCAATGAAAGCTAGTTCTCACAAAAGTATACCAACTGTGAAATTGTATATGGTAGCTAAACACTGGGAGAAGCTGCACCCGGCACATTAGTCAGCCTCTGTGAACAGAGTCTGTCTCCAGACTAGGAGACAGTAGAAGACGGAATGGAACGTGTAAAACTCACAACTTACCAATCAGGATGAACTCTAGAATCAGCGATGGAGCAGGCAGGGCGTGGACCTCCTGACCTTCAAACAGTAAATCTTCCTCTTCATAAGCCGCCAATGCCGCCTGAACACGGCCAGTGTCACCCAACGGAAACACGTGAAAGCTGGTTGCACCTGGTCATAGGAATCAGAGCAGAACAAGTGCTTGACAATTGACAACTGAAAAGAGAAAAGCCTTACTAGTCAAAACGAAAGACTAAGATGGGAGGGACTCTTACAATCGGACTCTTAATGTGACACGTTGGAAATCAATTAATTCGTAATTGACCTTAACCACTTCCTGCCGGGGATTCCGGGA